TATAACCTCCCCATAAGTACACCTACAACAACGCACTTATGACTCTTAAAATGCACCAGCACCTCACCAATTCACAAGTGCGTTGGTCAGTGGGCGGTGGTAATCCACCATCATATAGATTGTCACAATAACGAAAGTAGGACTCTAGAACAAAACTAGTAAATAATGAAAAACAATTTCATTAAAGGTACGTAGTGAACTTTCAAAGATCACAGCCTTTCACAGGGTTCCCTCTATCTGGCAGAATCCGAAATTTATTTCGCATAACATACTTGGAAAAATCTTTTCTAAACGAATATTTTTAAGGTTCTTGAGTGTTTTTTTCTTTGTTGTAAGTTAATTTAGGTTTTTGTACTATAAATTTCTTAATATCTACTGTTTTATTTTCTTCAATGCCAGTCATTTAATATAATCAGGTTTCTGATTGCATATTGTTGATTTGTCAAGTGATTCTGACAGATTTTGTTTGGTTTGTGTATCCAGCAGGCGGGTTGTGTTCTTTATTTCCCAATATAATTAGTTTATCGTATTTTATGAATGCTTTTTTTTCCAAATTATTTTTCTTACCTTAGTTGGGTTTGTTAATCTTTTCGTTCAATCATCAATGTTTACCAGAAGCCAGTAATATTTTTAAATGGCTACTAATACTTGTGAAAGATTATAAAATAAAATAAACACACTTCTGCTCTCGTTATTACTTTACTTTCACTTTTAGATACCTAACCACTGCGGGTTGAATTCGGACAAAGGAAAGATGACCAAATATTAAAACCCATCTACCCCTGGGGGTTGAAAATGGACAACATTTAGGGGTTGAACATGGACGGGGGTAGACATTGTGGGGTTGAACGTGGATTAAATCAAAATTATTTAGTATAATTATTGTTTGGCCGGACATTTATAGGAGCCCCGCAGCGTCAGAGCCGTGACAGATATGCGGCATGCTGCATGCTTGCTGGCTTTATTATTATGGTAAGAAATACATAATGATAGAAAAATAGACTTTCAATTATTATAGATATGAAATGTATGCCAAAAGATGGTTCTTACTCTAAACTTCCTGAGATATGATAGTTTCATTTCATTTATTCTTTATTGTACACATTAATATTAAATAAATCCTTTTAAGAACAAAGTTGAACCGACTTCAAACAATACTGACAAAGAGCAAGACTAGACTAGGCAAACAGACTAGACGAGATAATTGCTATTGTAATGTTAGCTGTTATATTGAAGGTACTTATTATAGATTTTTACTTAGATTTGTATTTTTTTTAGTGCTCTTTGACAGTTCTGATTGAAGTCGGTTCAACTTTTTTTGGAAGGATTAATTTTAAAATTATTCACGATTTTTAGTGTGTGTAAAGATATGTTTGTAATGAGTAGATAATCACGATATTTAAAATACTACGTACCGTAATGTATAGTACCAAACGGTAGTATGTTAGATTATATTAAATATTGTTTAATAAGTCCGTTACTTAATTTAGATAAGGTAGTAAGATGTTACATTTAAATCCGAAAATATATTGTTTTCAACACTACTTAATTTTCTAAAACTATTAGTGGTATTTTTTCTTCACATTTGAATGGAATTAAAAGGGAAATATACCAATAAATGAGCAAACTACGCACTATAACAGCACTGCAGAGAGAAGGAAAACCCTATACCAACCCGTCTGGCCAGCGTGGTACAGTAGGCCAAAACCTAATTTCTAAGGAGAGGCTTATGTCCAGCAGAGGACTGTTAAAGGCTGTTGATGAGTGACATGTGTAAAGTTATTATTGTAATCATCCATGTCCTAGTAAAATTGTATAAACTATCCGTGAAGGTGTAGCTTCAGAGGATCTGTTAATCTGTTTACCGTAAGACGCATATTTACCACAAATATAAAATCTATTACAGCCTTATTAGTATTACACTTAGTTGATTATTCTAATTAGAAACGGTCTACATTTATTTATTTATTTAAACTTTATGCACATGTAGCACATAGGCCGACTTAATTACTAAGGCATTCTCTACTTTGCTTCCTGTGCTTTTGTTTAAACGCGTTTATCTCGGCAACTGTGAATCGTGTTAAATTATTTTTATTTGTATTGAACAGAGATAGATATTCATCCGTCTGGTGACGGATTAAGAATACGAAAAGTCATAACCCCTTATTCACACCGTGGGTGTCGTAAGAGCCGACTAAGGTACAAGGATAACATTACTGGAAAGAGAAGGAAAACTTGACACTAACCCTATACCAATCCGTCTGGCCAGCTTGTTATAGTAGAACAAAACCTCCTTTCGAGGGAGAGGTTTATGTCCAGCAGAGGACTATTAAAGGCTGTTGATGATGATGAATAGAGTATTTATTGAGCAAGATTATTTTTTATTTTTTATTATTTATTTATTACATACATACTGTGGGAAATCCATGCTTCGGCATAAATTGGCAGGCTCGATTAAGGAATGCTTTCTTTGCTTTTTAACCCCCGACGCAAAAACGACGGGGTGTTATAAGTTTGACATGTCGCTGTGTGTGTGTGTGGTTGTGGCATCCTAGCTCCCAAACGGATGAACTGATTTCAATTTTTACGATTGCCTCCCTACACCAAAAATTATGGGCCTGTTGGTGTAGTGGTTAGTGGGTTAGATTCCCACCTAGAATAAATATTGTGTGTTGAGCACAATGATTTGTTCTGTATCTAGGTGTAATTATATATTAAGTATGTATTTAGAAATATATAAGTTTGTTCATCTGCAGTCTTAAGACGTATCGGTAAAAGCAATATTTTCACCTCTAAACATGTAAGTTTGACCTTAGATTGGTGACCTTTAGAGGTCAAAATTTGCGTATATATCTGATTGTAATTTTTTTTCCTCTCTTTTCATTTTCGGTCTCAAAAATATGCAATTCCATTTGAAAATTGCCCTTGACCCTTGAGATAACCTTCAAGGTTGTGATAAAGAGAAATTTCAAGGTAACCAATGGATAGCCATGGCAAATTCCTGTAACTTTCTGTTTAACGTATTTCCAAAAAAATGCATCTCTAGCGAATTGTTCTGCTGTTCCGATACTTTTTAACACCCGGTATGTCGATACATGATTCATCCAATTATAAGCTTTGAATTCAATCATCTAACTGTTTCAAATTAAGTCACAAGATATATGTATATTATTATATTATATATATATATAGATTTATGTATGTTGATTTACGATGTTGACTCCTAAATAACAGACAAGATGCTGCGTACCAATTAGCGGCTTTGCGTCTCTAGGCAACGCAACGTGGGGGAAGTGTTTTTCCCCTAGGATAGGGCCTGACTAGGCATGATGTCAATTCGGGGAGGACCTGAAATAACATGGTCCAGGTCCTCCCAGATTAGGGCATCTGAGGCCGGCCGTCGGGGTGGTTTTTGGAAAATGGTATGTGGAATCACCACATACTCCTAGCTCCTAGCCCCGAGGAGCAGGAAATCGGAAGGGATTTACCACCCCGTCAAAAAAAAAAACAGCAACGAAAAAAAAAAGGGCAACGCAACGTAGCGCATCGTCTTAAATTGCAATTAAATTATTAACTATTCATTGCGCACTCCTTCATTAACCCACACATTATACTTTTTAATATGTGCTCCTTATGTGTCACCGGCACGGGGTGGTGGCGTGGTGATATTCCCGTGAATATTACATACTAGCTGACCCTCGCAACATCAAGACAAATGTTTTTGCAACAATTTTCATTGAAATTCGGATTCTTTTAGTCATTACGTAATGTTATATTAGGGGTTAAAGTATGAAATTGCCGATTTTTACTGAAAAATTGAAACTCGTTTTTTTCTAAGATATTATAATATTTACCCTCATTATCCATACATTGCCGCTATCTAAACGGAAGTTCATTTATGCCGTTACGATAAAACTCTGGAGTCTAGATTTGACAAACTGTGTGAAAGCGTTTTGTATGGGAAAAACCATTTTTAATCACGTAGAAAAATAGTAGTCCGTTGGAGCAAGGTCTGGCAAATACGAAGTATGACGTATGGTTCCTACCTGCTGCTCCTGTAGAGTTACTTCTCGTGCGTTATCGTGGAGCAATAATTGTAAAGATTGATTTACGAGTCAGGGCTATTTCACTGCAAGTATCGCCATCATTGTGCGAAGTTTGGCATACTAAACATCTGATGTTATTGTCTGATCAGAACACCATGAAGAGACCACCAAACAGTTACCATTACCTTTTTATTGGTAAGTTTTGCTTTAAGGCACTGTTGCGGCGTTTCGCCTGGGGTCAGCCATTGCATTTTTAGCTTACTGATTTAGATGAAATTTGGTATGAAGATACTTTGATTCTTGAGGGAAGACAAAGGCTTCTTTTTACGGCAATAGCTGATATTTACGCGGTTGGAGCCGTGTGGACAAGCTAGTACTGTCATAAAATATATTCACATCTGGATTTGCACGCAGTAAACCATTAATTTATATAATTATACTAGCTGACCCGGCCACGCGTTGCTGTGGCTAAAGTTTTTGTTATATTACATTATAGTAAACAATCTAAGAGGAACAATAAGAGAACATCAGTCACGGAGTCCACTATGCTTTTTCACACAGATGGTATTTGTAAAAAAATATGGTGATCTCCTTATTTGACTTTCTACCACTATAACCCTTTATTACAATGAAATTATTTACGAACAAAGACGAAAATGTTGATATTGGTATACAAATTCACTGGATTGAGATTTGAAGGGGAAGTACATTGAACACAATTAATTAAAATGTTCTTACACTTGATATTAAGCAGAAATCAATAGGTACAAAATAAAAATTTATCAGATTTATTATTTCCATTTAATTTTATAACAAATATAAGTATATTACAGTATAATACAGTAAATAACATGTAACGCTTAAACTCATGAATGAGGTAGGCAAGGCAGACAGTCTTAAACTTTTAAACATTAATATCTATTTTTTTGAATTATAAATACTTTCAATTTCAATTTAATGTAACACCAATCGGTGCACAATGTTTTTGGTTAACCTGTCTTTAGCTAACACAAATAGATTCGACGGTTTCCCAACACGTGAACACGCAACATATAGTTGCCCATGAGAAAAACATGGATTTACCAAATCTAAACCACAAATGGACATTGTTTGACCTTGAGATTTATTTATAGACATGGCGAAAGCTAAACGAATTGGAAACTGTAGCCTTTTGAAGGGTATGGTAGAATCTGATGGTATCATCGGAATACGTGGCAGCAGGACCACTTTTCCTTTAAACTTCCCAGCCAAAATGGTTGCTTCAAGAATGTTTCCGGTGATCTTTTTGATGACCAAACGCGTACCGTTACATAATTGAGGTGGATTCAAATTACGGAGGAGAATAATAGGGGAACCAATCTTTAATAGAATATTATGTGGTGGCATTCCAGGGATATCTAATGAATTTAAAAATTCAATCGGAAAATTTACACTTTCATTTTCATCAACAACAGTATCGATTGATTTAAAAGACATCAGATCGCCTGGTGACAACTGTTGTATCTGGAAGTTAATTTCGTCAACATCAACGTTTTTGGCTGCCAAAATCGCCCGTTGACTAAGCCATTCATGATTCAAATAATTATTCTGTATATCCGGGAAAATACTCTGAATCAATTCATTTTATCCTGAACAACAGTGCAAAAATTGTCTGGTAGTTTAATGCATTGCGTATTTGGTTGCAGTTCTATGCCTGACGATGCTACTGCTAATGCGATTTTTTGTTGCGACCGTATTTTGGCAAGAATCAACGATATTAAAAATGTCTTACCGGTTCCACCGGGTGCATCCAAGAAAAAAAAACCGCCTTGTTCAGCAGCAACAGCCAGCATAATCCGATCATAAATAATTTTTTGTTCTGCTGTCAGTAATGGTTCATGATAATTGTTGCTAAACTTCCATGGTCATATTGATTTTCTCGTTGTAAATCGGTATTGACTAAGTCGGTGGCTGGACGATTAGGTGATGGCATACCATAATGATTAAGTGGTAAATTTGAAATAAGAACACATAAATCCTCGATCAAGACCAATGCTTCAACGTACATCTCTGGTGTATAATCTATGTTTTGGCATTGATTTGTTTGTCTAATTCGGTGCAAGGTGTCTTCTGTCATACAATTTTTATATTTTTCCCACAAAGTTTGTGCTTGCGAGGGATAACATGTCGTCAAAATAATTGCAAACAACTGACGAATGTTATTCGGAGTTGATGTCAACGCAGCATCAGCAAGCGTTAAGTCCCAATGGTTATCGTCTTCTAGCAATTGCAGTTCACGACATGCATCCTGGTATGTATTGAATACTCGACCATTAACTGTTCGTAAAAATTCAAAAGACGTTGGTCCGGGAACATTCACCAATAACAAACGTAAATAGAAGCACTCACGTTGCTTTGGATGTATCGTGTAAAGTCTCCCCAATGTCTTAGCTTTGAATATGCCTGTAATGGAAGGATGTGGTTTTCCTTGTTTCCGTGGCTCCCATTTTTTACTGGATTTGTTCCATGTGAAATAACGTGGAACATCACCATATACCAATGTCTTCGCGAATTGGCCAAAAACATCAGGTTTTTGACACAATGTAAAAAATTCAGTTAGAGTCGTTTTCGGAGCTTCGAACGCTCTTTGGAGAACATTTTCTTCAGTGAAGTATACACGTTGACCGTTTTCAAGATGTATTGCCAGATGTTGGACAGCAGGATCTCTTTCGTGGATGGAAAAGCTGAGAATATGCCAAATAGCTTCATTGCTGCTAATGTATCTGCCCATTTGGTATCGTGCTATTTCGTCATTTTTATTTATGTTTTGTACTTCAAATATGGCCAAATCACTGCCTTTGTTTACATATTTACAAATATACTTAATTGATTTAACAGAACTGCAAAGCTCAACATTGATATGAGCTTTGTAAGTTTTTGAAAGTAGTGGTGAGTATGGTGATTATCAAACCACCCACTGATTATCAAACTCAACTTGATTTGGAAAGTTCGGCAGTGGCATTGTAAATGTGTGGCCACCATTCTCAGTACTTCTGCGGCGATACATTGGATAACCATCAATATCCGTGATCGTGTCATTCGTATGCGGCTTTGGGAACTTTTTTTTACATTTTCCGCATGGCCCATGGATCGCCGGATGGCCGAAAGCACCGCATGGCCCATGGATCATGTGTTTGGTGACAATATCAAATAATTCTTGATCACTTAATGGGTCTGGAATTTCGGCTGAAATTATTTGATCGATTTCTTCAGGACGGATTCTATCTTTAAGCCAAACCAAAATGTGGGCATGAGGCAAACCTCGCTTTTGCCACTCTATCGTATACAGCCAACAACGTGTGATACCAAAAATTGAATATTTAACAATAAAATCAATTAAGGATTTCAATTTTTGTTTAAACACACGTGCAGTTAAATCATGACGATGAATGGCTTGTTGTCCTGGCAATAGTAAAGTTTGTATCTCTTCCCAATTCGGATTACATGTGAATGTAATAAATAAATCCGGTCGGCCGTAATGACGTACGTAAGTCATCGCATCTTGTATGTATTCCTGCATGTTCCGTGGACTGCCGATGTAGCTTGAAGGTAAAATGAAAGCATTACCGATGTCATTGGGATTTAAATTTCTATCGATGTTTCCAGCAACAGCATCTCGTTGCCATTTTCTCATTGATATATTAATTGACTTTTATAAAACTATGTGATATTACTTACATGTATAAATTGAAATTATTGTTCCTGTGCTCCTACTGTGGCTATTTCTCGTTCTCCTGCTGCTCTTGTTCTTTTATAATATGAATTCAATTTACACTTCAGTCTAAGTAACACGTGGCCGGCTATGCTAACACCAAAAATTTAAAAAGTGGTAATAATTGAATTATACGGTATTTCGTTCACTACAAAATAAATTTAATTAATTTTATAGCGTCAACAACACGTGGTAATTATGCTGTTAAAATGTAGCTTATATGACACGTTCGTAGATTTACCATAGCAGCGCCATCTATTGATTACTTACTCAACCCAGTCGAAAGGTATCGACAAACACCAAAAATTTAAAAAGTGGAAATAATTGAATTATACGGTATTTCGTTCACTACAAAATAAATTTAATTAATTTTATAGCGTCAACAACACGTGGTAATTATGCTGTTAAAATGTAGCTTATATGACACGTTCGTAGATTTACCATAGCAGCGCCATCTATTGATTACTTACTCAACCCAGTCGAAAGGTATCGACAAACACCAAAAATTTATAAAGTGGAAATAATTGAATTATACGGTATTTCGTTCACTACAAAATAAATTTAATTAATTTTATAGCGTCAACAACATGTGGTAATTATGCTGTTAAAATGTAGCTTATATGACACGTTCGTAGATTTACCATAGCAGCGCCATCTATTGATTACTTACTCAACCCAGTCGAAAGGTATCGACAAAAAAAATATATAAAAAGTGGAAATAATTGAATTATACGGTATTTCGTTCACTACAAAATAAATTTAATTAATTTTATAGCGTCAACAACACGTGGTAATTATGCTGTTAAAATGTAGCTTATATGACACGTTCGTAGATTTACCATAGCAGCGCCATCTATTGATTACTTACTCAACCCAGTCGAAAGGTATCGACATCTGTTAGAAGCATTTGGAGTTAACAGATAATTGTGACTGTCAAATAATAACAGACAAATAATTAGCAATAAATTAAAATTGCGACTATAATTTGAAATTTAAACTATCCTATCTCTCAAGTTGGATCGAACTGCACATGATGTTTGAATTTTATTATAATCGGTTAAGTGGTTTAGGAGTCCATTGAGGACAAACATTGTGACACGAGATTTATATATATTAAGATACCATTAATTTATATATAATAATTCTTCCTATTATATCAAATATGGATAAGAGAAATCCTGTAGGTGCTATCTATATGGATCTAACTAAGGCTTTTGATTATGTGGATTATCCTACACTAATGCATAAACTTGAAAGATATGGTGTCAGGGGAAATGTACTTGATCTCATTCGATCTTACTTAACGGGCAGAAAGCAATTTGTAGAAATTAAGCAAATATATTCAAATACCAGTTTTGAATAAAAATATTGTTCCGAAAGCGAGATAATTAAATACGGCGTTCCTCAGGGTAGCGTGCTGGGGCCCCTTCTTTTTTTGCTTTACATAAATGACCTTCCTGGGCAAAAAACCACCCCATGGTTCTGTTCACCGATGATAGCACTGTAGTGATTAAGTGTGATGATCCCAATACTTATGAAAAAGAAATAAATACAACATTAAATAGAATTATATCATGGTTTGCAAATAATAATCTAATTTTAAATTTAGAAAAAACTAAAATTATGCATTTTTATCAAAGGACACCAATAAAATCGTTGACATTAGCTATTTAGGGACAAAAATAGAATCAAATACTACTACTAAATTTCTTGGTATTAATATAGACAATAATTTGACCTGGAAATCCCAGACAGACGAAGTATGTAAAAAACTAAATAAATTTGCCTATGTTCTTTATAAACTATAAAAAATACTAAGCCTAGAATCCGTACTAATGGCCTATCACGATTACGCTGCATCAACACTGAGATATGGCGTAATATACTGGGCAATTCAGTGGATAGAGAACTTGTATTCAAAGCCCAAAAAAGATGTGTCAGAGCTATGTGTGATCTAAAAAGCACCGACAGTTGTCGACCGTATTTCATACGCCTAAAAATTCTTACTTTGCCATCTCTGTACATATACGAAACAAATATGTTCGTGAAATCCAACATCTCATCATACAAACTAGCAACTAAAAGTTACTACAGAAAACTACGAGATAAAAATAATTCGGAACTCCAAGTGACATATGGCAAAACTGCACTAATAAATAAAAGTACCTTCTGTCTGGCCACTAAAATATTCAACAAATTACCTGAAAAAATTAAAACGCTAACTCTGGCCAATTTTAAAAGAGAAGTATTAAAAATCTTGATAAGTAAGTGCTATTACTTACTAAAGGACTATTTGGACGACAATTCTATAATTACTGCTTCAGAAAATTGTACCTCGACTATCCTAATGATTTTGAATTGACATTAAATTAATTTGTTTGACATTTATTAAAATTGACTGTATTTTGTATTTATTTTGACATGCATGTGATTATTAATTATTATCATTGACGTTATTTCCTAAGTTGCAGACGTTCATGGGTAGCGATAGTCACTTTCCATCGGGTGACCCGTCTGCTCGTCTGCCTCTGTATCATAATATAAAAATAAAAATGCAAATTGGTCAATAAAAGGCAATAGATATACCGAAAACTTTGCCTTAGATCTAAGGTATCCAGACCAACCACCCTGAAGATTTATGATGGATGGTGTACTAAAAAAATGCGAATGATAATAAACACGCCTTGTAAATTATTATTGATCTAGTATACTTCCGTCCAAAAAACGGCGTAAGAGGTCCATGGACCCTCGGTCAGAACGAAGTTAATTTGTCTTTTGGTAGATGTTTGCTATAGTGTCAAAGAAAAGTCTTGTTACACATTTCTCGGTCTCCAACCCATCCGCTCAGAGCGTGTAAACGCGTCATAAGGAACTTCGTTCCAAAAAATACCACAATAAATCTGAAGTCCGAATCTTTATGAAGGTGCCAAGATGGGGTCAAGGACTAGAGCCGATAAAGTTTCACTCGGGGTTCAGACTCAGGCATAGCATAACTTCCGCTCTGCTGTAATTGACGGTAAACACCCGGGTAGGAATTTTTCGGATTTACTTGATTTCTCGAATATATTAAAGCAACAACAACTGTGAATAGTCATTTTATACAAACACAACATAGTCGTTACAGTATATTCGATAAGTAAAGTTTTCTATTCTTAATTTTTTTTTACTCCCGTTCCCTTTCTTTAGTGTTTTGTACACTCGACATTAGGAGCCAAATACAGCAGAACTAAGGTTATTGTATATTCCAAGAGTAAAAAAAAATATTCTACCAAAAAATCAAATTTCACATAAGGTATAGCTGATGTGTACCTTTTAATGGACTTTTAAGTAATGGTAAAAATACCGCGTAATTAAGAATTATGTGACTTCAACTCAGTATTAATTTAGACACAACACTACTTGTTAATCACCATACCTAATACATGCATTGTTAATATAAAATTTATTATGTTAGTCTAGGTCCGCCAATAGATGCGTATAAATTTTCAATAAATAAATTATCACCGTTACGTTACGTTACGTTCGACGCCAGTAACAGCCAAGGCTACATACATAATCTATCAACACTATCTATACATACATCATTTAATTGACGTTCATAGATTTAAAAAACCTGTCTAATTTAACTTTAATATTCAAGTAAGCGTTGCATATTTTGCCACTAATTTAGGAAAAAAAGTTATAATAATTAATGTGAACACGGAAACATGATAAAAGATGAAATCAAGTTTGACCGCTAACGAATTATTGAGAACATTACTTTTCTGAAGTCGGTTTAATATTTATACCTATACTAATAAAGTCGGCAACATTCCATTTTTTAGTTTGTTTGTTTGTAATGAATAGGTAAGCTGCGAAATTAATGGACTGATTTTAAAAATTCTGTCAACTCTCAGAAGCTATATTATCAGCGAGTAACAATGGCTATATTTAATTTGCAAACATTTTCCTCCTAAAATAACGATAGTGTAAAGACAGGTATAAAAAATTGCCCAAAATACATTTTGCGCTGCAAAAACTATTGATGATGACTTAAAAAAATGCGATATATTTTGAACGTACTCATCAATGCACACAAAAAAGTCCTTGACTGCACGGATGGCGTAGTGGTTTAAGCGGTCGCCACGGCGCTTAAAACTTTCATTTAGTTTTCATCCATAGAAAAAGTAATTCAAGAGGAAAGCTTATATGTACTCATACTTTATTGCTTCCATAATGTAAATACATGGGTGAAAAACAATTCAAGCGACAACAATTATGGACCCTGTTGGGCGCAGCACAGTTTGTTTGGGAGAAAGGGAGATATATAGTTTTTATAGTATAGAAAAGCCGATCATTTCCAAGATTTGTAATAAGATAGCTTAAAATATATTATTTTGTGCGCTTAAATTGCAAGCACTGACAAAATCTTAAGAGATGGATTAAAATAATGAACTACGGAACCATATACGAGTATTTTAAAAGGATATACAGAAAAGTCCGCCATATTATGTCTTCCAACTAAAGGTAAACAACAGTTTAATATTTTTATCTCTTACATTTTACAAAAAATAATGGGTTATTTACGAAGTTACGAGTTACGAGAACCAGGGGGGGGACCACGACGGGGCCCATGGAACCAGAGGGCCTCCGTCTTCTCCAGGACCATCCGTAAGCACAGCGCCTCAATGCGTCCAACCACCAGAGAGAGTCCCGTGGTGTAAAAGTTCGCCCCCGGGCTGTGACCAAAGTATTATCGACGCGACGCTACAGCGTAATCTCTAAATATTATTTGTATTGTCTCATAAAAAATAGCTGTGAATAAAGATATTCTTGTGGTATACTTCCATACTCATAACATTAGAAATGTGAAAATGAGTTTGTTTGTTTATTTGCTTGTGTATTTGTTACGCTTTTACGCCTAAACCACTCAACCGATTTTAAAAACTCTTTCCTCACTAGAAAGCTCTGTCGGTGGAGTCGCGGTCACAAAGTAGTGTATATATAAACTGGGTGTGCATTTTTTCACATAACTTTTTAAGCCATATATCTGAAGACGGAAAATATTTTACATACCATTTTACATCATAACGATCTTCATAAAAATATTTAATAAATTATAAGTTTCAATCGTTAGGATCGAAACTAACTATTTCTCTAGCTTTATAGGTATTTGCGTTTAGTATTCATTATGTCATGTAGCTGAGCTGATGATGGAATAGGAATTAGAGGATTACTCTTTCAAAAACCTAACCATGTGTTGACCTTGTTTTTTTCTTTCATGATATTTGTTAGGTGTTTGGGTTGGGTTACAGTGATATGTGCACGAATGAGTAACATATCAGATTATAAAACATTTAGAAAAAAAAAAGCCGTGTGGTGTCCGTGGGACACCCGATAGGAACGAAGTTGTGACGATCGAGTAAAACTGATTCGACACGATTTAATTACAACGCCATCTATGAAAGCGGCTATTACCTACATATTTTTCAGTTGGTTTCTAATTAAAACAATTTATACATTGGTAAAATCTCCTTGACAAATGATTTCCTATCTATTCGATAGATGGCGCTGAATGACTGACATAAAAAGTGTCGTTACAATTTTTCGTGAGATTTTTTTTCCGTCTAGCCCCCTTTCACAACGCGCGATAAGGAACTTTGTTCCAAAAATTGTAACACATTTATTTTCATGTTTGGTTAGCTCTCTTTTTTTTCTCTTTTTTATTTAATAAGACATTGGGAAATACATCATGTGTCGCGAGGGACTTTACAAACATACATGAAACGGACACAAAGCACACCCAGACTCAGAACAACAATTTGGATCACACAAAGTGCCGTCCCATGTGGGGTGGGAAAATTAATTAATGTGAAAAACAATTTATTTCGGGTTCAAATGTAACACCTTACTACCTTAGCTAAATAAAGTAACGGATTTATGAAACAATATTTAATATAATCTAACATACTACCGCTTGGTACTTTACATTACGGTACGTAGTGTTTTAAATATCGTACTTATATACTCATTACAAACATATCTAACACTAAAAATGGTAAAATAAATGCTTTAAAAAAGTTGAACCGACTTCAAACAATACTGACAAAGAGATAAATTAAATAAGACTAACAAATCTAATTTAAAAAAAACTATAGTAAGTACCCTCAATATAACAGGTAACATTATAATAACAATAGTCCCTTCTAGTCTGTTTGAAGTCGGATCAACTTTTTTTACTGGATTTAGGTTTATAGTGATAAGTACTTGTAATGGAAAAAAAATAAATAGCAAGTTAAACCCCGTATTTCGTAACTTTGAATCCCCTCAATCTCTGTTTATTCATGTCAATAATAACGAGGAATGAATGTATTCAAGGAAGGCCCTCGTTAAGTACGACGACTTTTAGGAGGAGTTTTAGGTTCATCACAGATCCAATCACCTGTGTCTGATCCGCAAGAAGCCAACGCCAGAGTGCCACCACTGCGATGGCCGGACCGTTAGACATGGCGCTCCGCACACTTGCAGAATGCCCGGCGTGGATGGAGCAGAGGCGTGGCCTCGTGGCGGCCATCGGAGTAGGTATTCTCTCGCTCGGTAACATGATTGTAGCCATGATACGGAGCGAGAACGGAACTTCGCCGTAGTCTTCTGCGAGCATGCTTGCGGAGGAAATGGAGGAGCGGGACCGGGAGAGATTTAGAAATCTCCAGGCCGCCAGGCCGTTGAATAGGCCAGAGGCGCCTCAGGCTCATGACTCAGGCGCCGGAAGTCGCAGAACGACCTCCGTTCATTCATCATAATCATTACACCCGTGGTTGGTATCCAAGGGGATTGCCGCACAGAGAAAAAAAAGGAGTGTCAGATTAGGTTAAGCTAGAACTGCGACCGTGAAAGTGATTATTATTAACGGTTTTAAAACAAAAAATAGGCAAAAAAAGATCTTTATGTGAGCCAGTATAAACTAGCTGTCCGCCCTGTCTTCATCAGGTTGTAATGAATAAAGTTAGACTTTATCTTTCTTTTACAGTTTTGAGGATTTACAAATATTTTATTTTGAGATATTATGTTACAGAGATGTAAGAAACGCCGATCAATCAATTAACATTATGATTTAAAAAATCTTTCTACCATACTTTATAACTGGCTTACTACTGAAGTTTTTTTTTTCACAATTTTTTTCCTGCAATTCAAACAATGTCGTTCTTTAAATTCTCAGGAACACGTTTTTATACGATTCCTGACATACACAAAAATAGTTAACGAAATAGATGTAAGCGTACTGAAAACATTTTGAAATTTCATTTTCAATCCAAAGATTTTGAAAACCTGTTATTTGAGCTTCGGGTATGTCACAGCAGTTGAAGATAAAAGTGGACTGTATTTAAATTAATTTACAACAAAGATGTACATAATATATCTAAAGAGATTATACAAAGGTATGGTTAGAACGCTTGTATCGTGCGCGCCACTCGGTCGTTGAGTGGAGGGACACCCTCAAGTGCCACAACCGTCGCTCGTGTACCGCCGCTGTAACACGAAGACTGCTGACAAACCAAGACGATAGTAGAGACGTATTATTAGTACAATTGTTAACGGTACCCAGAGGATTCCATCGAATTCTGAAAGTCTTGTTTTAAATTTCATTGCTACTACAAAATTGTTGTTTGTCAAATGTTGTTGCGCAACTAGAAAATGTAGTAAAAGTGTCGTCACACGTGGAAATTAAATAATAGAGACGAAAAAAACGGAGATCGTGGTGACAAATCTTGTTGATTCCGATACGGAGTACTAATTATGTATTCCTATAAAGTTCCATCGTGAATATTATCGATGGACATCCAACATTTTCTTATTATTATCCTTTCAAGCTTTCATGCGTAAACACGTACTTTGTGTTATTATTTTAAGTGTCTGTGTTCGAAATGGGAAACGAAAATATAGACTTGGAAAATCTAAACGTTAGTATTTTCAATGTATTGATGTTATTTACATTCAGTGACATTACAGTAGTTATTTCATCGCAAATATATTTTGCTGTTTTTCATCTCCTTCTAAAAAATATTAATTGTCTAAGTGTCTTTTCCCAGAGTGCTTCAGAAAAACTAAATACGGACTCAGCTAACGATGTCGATGTTTTGGAAAAAATATTATCACATGTTGGCAGCATGGGACGGTATCAACGATTGCTCCTTATTATTATGATGCCTTTTGGATACACCTATGCTTTCCTTTACTTTGTGCAAATATTTATAACTGTTACACCGCAGAACTATTGGTGTAAAATTCCTGAGCTGGCTAATTTAAGTATGGACTTAAGGTAAGTGTGGATTATACTAAATTTATAATTACTATTTTATTACTGGTACTTGTCTCAAACAATTAACTTTTATTCAATAATCCACGAGGTTGTGTGCTATCCCGACACTTTTTGATGTGGAACATGTAATGCTATGGGTCGGACCAGCTGTTGGCGTGGCATGCGTTACCACGCTTTGTGACAGTATAACGTAACATGTAATGCGGTATGGCGACGCATCGCTTTATCTATTATTTCCCTTTCATAAGCTATCCTTTTACCCATTAATTCTACTAAATAATTTGGATGTGTCTCATCTGCACATGTTCCGCGGTGTCTCTTCTTGTTCTGATGCATTTTAAAAGCTCCATACGATTCTATCTCAAATATTTACTGGTTTATTTCGAAATTTGAAATTAAATTAACCGTTATAATTGATTACTTTTCCCCTGTTTTCTTGTGATAGTTAGTTGTGAGACTTGTTATGTCATTTAAAAATATATTTTACACCACTTTATAATAACTCGACCTAAAGCTAGCGTTATATGTGAGAAAATATTTCAACTTCGTTGAAGCGCGAGGTACTTGACACCAAATGTTATAAATAGCTCATTGGTAGGCTTTTTATAAAAGTATACTCACTTTATTTATTTATTTTGTAGTGAACTAGTCACTTCAGTTAATTTTATATCGCTGTTTAATACATTATTCATATTATTAATAGGTTTTGCTTCTTAGTTTTTATATTAAAGCCTTTTTTTGGTTTTTAAACGAGGTATACTTTTATCGTTTATTTTATGATGTAAGCACCAACTGAGAGGTGCTTGGATCTTCGTCATATTCAAAGTAAGAAACACTTAATTGGAAATAATCAGAGAGCGAAAAGACCAAGCCCAAAATCGATCTTAGTGGCGTGCAATGGAATAGGCCTATGTCAAATAGTGGACTGCGATAGGCTGATGATGATGATGAGGCAAGCGAAGCTGTCAGTTTTAGGAAAAAGCAGTTGCAAGTTTTACACAAATTCACATTTTTTCCAAAATACTTAGCTTGCGTAATTATCTGTATTTTAAATTGGTATCTAAATAAGATTTTTTTTACATAAACAGCCTATAATAGTCCACTACTGGACATAGACTTCTTTTTAGAAAGGAGGTTTTGACCTCCTATATCACGGTATCAGTTCTCTTATCCTGCGTAGCTTGCTCCCTTAGTCAGCTCTCTCCCTTGTTAAGCTGACGTTTGTGTGTTCGATTCCCACCCAGAACAAATATTGTATGATGAGCACGATCGTTTGTTTTGTGTCTGGGTTTTATTTATCTAGAAATACATAATTGTGTATATGTTTATCAGCAGTCTGATTACTATATATACGATACACAGGCTCTGCCTGATTAGGAATCAGGCAGTCGTGTGTAAGATATCCCATGTTATTATTACTATTACAGGCGAAATTTATCAGCACCTGGAACCGCTTGGGGCAGCTATGAGCGATGTGTGACATTTGATACAAATTGGACAGAAGTGCTGGATACTTTGACTGTTCCGCCGGCTGACACGGCACTGATACCATGCCCACATGGCTGGGAGTTCGAATTCAGCGATATACCTTATGAAACTGTTTCCACAGAGGTAAGTTCGCTATGTTTTGAATAGTCTTATTACAAAATAATCATCAAATCATAGGGTGCAAAGGAGCAAACGGGTGATGGTGAATGGTGATGATTATGGTGAAGTAAATACCACCGCCCATGAATACCTGCAACTTAAGAGTCACAAGTCTTTTGTCGCTCTTTGAGTCAAGTCCCCCCCCCCTCCCGAGGCAGGGATGGTTTTGGAATCACAAAACCTCGCTCATTCTGTGAAAATCAACAAAAGAATTACTTGAAATGCCTTATCTGTGCGGCCGAGGTATCTTTTCGGTTAAGCTTGCCCTCATGGCCTCATGGCCACATGGCCAGAGTGCATTGCAGGATAAACAATAGCATTCTTAGGTACAGGTTTATTAAAGCAATGGATAAATAAAGATCAATCTTGATTGCAAACATAATTTACATTAATTTCTTAAAGTAGTTAAAATATTAATCTAATTAATAATAATTAAATTATTTTGACGGGCCTGTTGGTCTGGTGGTTAGTGACCCTGACTGCTAAACCGGAGGTCGTGGGTTCGATTCCCACCCAGGACTAATATTGTGTGATGAGCACGGTCATTTGTTCTGTGTCTGGGTGTAATTTATCTATAATATGTATGTATTTAGAAATATATAAGTATGTTTATCAGCGGTCTGGTTACCATAGTACAGGCTCTGCCTAGTTTGAGATCAGACGGCCGTGTGTGAGTATGTGAGATATATTATATTATTATTACATTATTCTTTTTGAAGTGAAACTTCTTTAGCACCGTTGTGATTTGAATTTGATTTGATTTCGATGAAACGAAAAAGCGACAGTAAAAAGAGACAAACATATTCATAGAATTTAGCCTGCGAGAGAATGAGATAGATTACAAGTACGAGTATACAGTGTTTTCTGTTATCTTCGTCTCTTCTATGCTGTCACGTGTCTTTGCGCCTGCGTACAAGAAATTCAGTTCAGAAATTGTGTCAATTTTTGATGTAATATTTTGATAGTGTCAATATTTTTATCTTTTTATTCAATATTGTATAGAAACGGGTGTCATGTTCCTCCAACACAAAAGGAGCATCCTCTGACCAGGCGAGGTGATCATGCCTGGCGGGCTGCAGCCCAACTGTTAGATGGCGCTGTAGTATGTTTGTGTTTCTTCGTATGTGGGAGTCGCCACATCACTCCCCTCCAAGACCAGAGGTGGATATCTTGATGAGTCGGTTGTCTATGCCCTGTTGTGGACCGTGCCAGTGCCAGTAGTGAGTAGTTCCAGTGAGTCGGAACTGAGTTTTGCTAGTTCCAGTGAGTCGGAACTGAGTCCGCTGATCCCAGTGAGTCGGGGTGGTTGCTGCGTACTGGCTGGCTGCTGCGTAGACGGGAGAGATATTCTCTTCTTACGTGGACCGTAGGTGCAGGGTGCTGTGCTTAGACGATGATGAGGCCGGTAACCAGGCTGGAGCGGTCGGTACCTGCAGGTGGTATTCCTGTTGTGGCCGAGGTTGCTGGCTGCCTGAGACTTGATTACCGCTCATCGTTGTGGGAGTCCTCCGACCAGGGGAGGTGATCATGCCTGGCGGGCCGCAGGCAAACGGTTGATGTTGGGCAGTTGTATGTATGCTAATCAGCGAGAGAATTCTTCATATCGCGATACAGGATTAGCAATTCTCATTCAGGAGTTACTCCGTAGTTCGGTGTGTCTGTAGTATGTTTCTGTTTCTTCGTATGTGGGAGTCACCACAAATATTTTATTCCGAAGTTTCACTTCTGCCCTGTGTGAATTGCACAAACACACGTTTTTTAGGGTTACGTACCTCAAAAGGTAAAAAAGGAACCCTTATAAGATCACTTTCTTTCTTTCTCCACCGATTTTCTCAGGTACCGGTAGACTTAGCAAATTGAAATTTATACCAGATGCTGAGGTCTATGGTCCCTATTAGGTGTATAAAAATCAAGGTCCTGAAGTACCCTATAGGTTTTGGGTCGAAAACCTATTTGGTATTTCCCGTTGACCTAGAATCACGAAATTTGGCAAAAAGAAACGTCTTACAGCACAAATAAAGGAATAATTCCAAAAAATAAACAAACTTGAAAATTAAGATAAATTTTGGGACCTACAATTTTTCTCGAAAATCTACGTAAAATCTGGGTAGGTACGGAACCCTCGGCGCACGAGTTCGACTCGTACCTGACCGGTTTTTTTGTTTCACATGTGATGAAAACAAACAAACGATACCTCTACAACACTCTTGACCATTGCTAGTTTTAAAAAGTCTTACCTTGCACAATTCGCTGAGAAGTTCTTTTTAATCCTAAACATAAGCAGATACACAAACATTGCGTTGATAATGAAAATATTTGCGTGTGTTTTAGATCAGCCTGCTCGCTTGTAACAACACGTACTTTGTGACAATTATTAATCAACAATGTCTCAATGTTTTCCGTATTTACATTACACTTTTGCTGACCTATAGTTTTTTATGTTTAAGATTACCAAGCCATTTGGAATCACAACCTAGTTACGTGACTTTTTTCGTAAATTACTTTCTTAATGCAATCAACATATCCGTAATATATGTTGCTTATATTTAACCGACTTCAAAAAAAAAGGGAGGTTCTCAATTCGTCGGAATCTTTTTTTTTCATGTTTTATGTATGGATAAATGCTAAAGTGTGTCTATCTGTGTGTCTGTTACCTCTTCATGCTTAAACCGCTAAACCGATTCAGATCAAATTTGGTATAGATCTAGTTTGATTCTTACGATAAAATGATATTTCTTTTTGAACTTATGGAAAATTATTTCCTCCTTTTTAGTTAGCTAGCTACAAAAGCGTGTTCTTTTTTAGTTTTTAAACTATAATTTATTATTATTATATTCCGTGTAGTGACGGATTAAGAATACGGAATGTCACTACCCCAACTCATCCCGTGGGTGTCGTAAGAGCCGACTAAGGGCGCAAAACAATGCAGGACACCAGCACTGCAAAAAGAAGGAAAACTTGACACAAACCCTGTACCAACCCGTCTGGCCAGCGTGGTATATATAGTAGGCCAAAACCTCCTTTGTAAGGAGAGGCATAGGCCTCTCCTTACAAAGGAGATTTTGGCCAGGTCCAGCAGTGGACTATTAAAGACATAGGTCCAGCAGTGGACTATTAAAGGCTGTTGATGTGATGTGTGATGTGATATTCCTAGTAGAAAACACGTTAACTGCATATACAGTATGATGTTATGTTTGCTATCAAGCTAAATAGGTTTTATGATGTTAGTTGCTTATGAGGTACTGTTAGATGTTATCAAACCTTTACGTTAAGGGGTTGTAGTTGCCATCATTTCTAATAGATTTCACTTTGAAATATCCCATTTCCCAAACCTAACCATTTTCAAGATATTGGACTTGCCGAAATTTTGACTTATACAATTTTTTTAGAACTTGTAACCTTTATTTATGTTTTTTTTTGAATTTTTGTATAATTGATACACTGTTTTGTAATTTCCATTACTAAAATTGTAGTTAACAAACTGGGCCGAAGTAGATAGTTAATAATGGCGATAAAAATTGTAAACATTTGTTTTTCTTTGACGAATATTATTAAAAAATCTGTGACAGTTTACAAGTTTACAGTTTGGTAAACATATATGCATTGTCAGCTATCTAGCAAGGTATAATAGTCTAAGATAGTATCATAATTCTTGTTTTACCGCGGTCGCATCCTTTTGCGAAAACGTCATCTCGCTCGAGGGCTCGGGAGAATGACCTCCACACGGACCCAATTCGCCGCCGTCGAACCGGGCGGCGGAGGCGCACATTCCAGCGCCTCATGCCGCTCTGAGTGTGGCCGCGGGTGGACGGGACGGGTTTTCCACTCCATCCGCTACAATGGCCAGCCGCGAGGAGGCGACGTCCGCGTGTGCCGAACGTCGTCTAAATAGAGAGTTTTTTTATCGAAAGTGCCAGCGCTTTTGCGGGCAGGCGCTAGGTGTCCGGATGTCGTAATAACAGCTGTTCCCGGATCCCTCCTATTTCAGGCGCAGAGTGGAACACCGAGTGGTTTTAGTCGGTCCATTCCAACACACCGCCGCCGCAAACCTCGGTGGGGTGACGCGACGGCCCGAGGGGATATTCACGCTTAAAAAAGGATAGTATCATAATTCAAAGAAAAAAACTTAAATGAAAGACCGAGAGTATTAAGAAGACTTGTATTTTTGGACTGTTTCGTTTTCTATTTGTTTAACTATTGCTATCTAGACTTTGATTTGTGCTTCTGATAATAGTATTATAATATTCTACGACATTCATACAACGCCATCTAGTCCCAAACTAAGCAGAGATTGTACTATGGGTACTAGACAACTGACAAATACATATATACTTTCTTTTTGTAAATACATACATATTGTACATAGAAACATCCAAACCAAATTAAACATTAAATGTTAATCCACACAAATGTTTGACTTGAGCGGGAATCGAACCCGCGACCTTTAGAATTGCAGTCCGTTACACAAACCACTACGCCATTTGACCATCGATGTTGGAGATGATGACCTATACGAACGACCTCTTTTATGATATTGTATTTCCAAGGGAAATCTATCAGAAATGATGGCTGCTACAACCCCTTAAAGTATGTAGGTCGACTTACCTAGTAACTTTGTATATATTTGTATATTAGTCTGTAGACCATGTGTGTGTTTTTGAGAGAATGACTGTGTTGAAATAAAAACAAATTGTTGTAAGTAGACTACGTAAATCTTTAATATTTTGCAAAAGTCAAAAGTTCATGGTAGTTTTTTTTTTTTGTTTTTTTTTTTAACAATTAGGAACAACTTCTTTAGTCAGCCTCAATTGTAGTGCATAGATGGAATCTAGGTTCGATTTTTAAGTTCTTCCGTACCCAATCACTGATTCGGCTAAGGCAATGTATATTTGAGACCGGATTTGAAAGGGTATTTTCTCCTTTATTAAAGTAAACTTAACCAGTACACCCCTCAGTTTTTCACGGACCCGGTCCATTTGACTTTTCCAATAAAATGTACTATCTATAACTAGTACAAGATATATTTGATCATCCACCACATCCATTGTTTTGCAAATACATTAGTCAGTGTGACTTTGTAATTATTCTTATGAAGGGATTCGTGATTGTGTGCGATGAGAGCGGGCTCAAATGTGCATCTAATTCGACTAGAAACTTATGTAAATTATTTTAGTTTAACTTTAATTCAGCACAAGCCCAGGTCATGAGGCCATTCAGACAAAAGATTGAAGTGATATTGGAGTTTGACCAATGCATCCTCTTCCAAGTTCTAAGCTACAAATGTCGTCAGCAAACCGAAAGGTCTCTCATTTTGAAATCAAGTTTTGCAAGGTTACAACGCATGCAAGAAAACCAGTTCGAAAAACAGCTCATCCCTCTAGTGCATCTTGATCCGCCACCGATACATATGTGTGCGTCATTTGTTTTAATCGACAAAGTAATAGAATTTCAACTTAAAATTTTGAAGTTCGTATAAAATTAGCGAACATACAATTACTAATATTACGTAACTAATATATGACAATGATTACTATGATGACAGTTAAAGAAAAGGGCTTGAGATGAAACTTCTCGAAAATACACTAAAAAGCTGTGAGCAAAAGGAGTGAAAAAACTAGGAACCTTCGTGGAACCGAGGGGCACTCAGATGTAGACTGATTGGCTTCATGTGACTTATAGTCACCAGTATTGCATATGTTGAAAATCCCCCGCGACACAGGATGTTCCGGGATGACCCTAGTGCGGGAGTTGATTTTGAAGAAAAAAATATTTCAAAGGCAGCTACGCAATTATGACTCTTCAGTTAAAAGTGTCCTTGGGCCAGTGGTAGTCACTTACCATCAGATGAACCGTCTACTCGTTTGACCCCTTACACCGTAAAAAAAGTATAAATAAAGAAAAAGTTAATTCGATTAGGCTTAAATAAAATGTAAAATAAATAAAATCTATGCAACCGATTCATAGGCCGATAGGCAATCGATTGGACCTGAAGGATTTTACGATAAGACGCACCTGTAGGCCTAATAGACCTGACATTATCTACAATGATGAGGAATGCAGCGAGTATCGTATCTAGGTGCATTCTGAGACGTCGAAGTCTTCCATTTGTTCCTTAAGTGTGCAGCTTTGCTCGAAGAATAGATGAAGCTTATAAATAGTTTGTAAGCGCAATAGGTGTGTCACTGCTGGACATAGGCCTCTGAAAGGAGATTTTGGCATACTATACCACGCCTGCCAGACGGGTTGGTATAGGGTTTGTTTCAAGTTTTCATTCTCTTTGCAGTGCTGTTGTCCTGCGTAGTTGTGTGTATAAGAAACGTGATTTCTAATACATTTAACTGGTGATTTCAATCGTGGATAAGCAATCCTTATCCTATATGGGACAGCTGGCCTGTAAATGACTTTACAAAATTGGTTTGTGCTCGAAGCAAGTTGAAATAAATACTCACCTGTTCCCTTTTTAAGAAAAACTGTTCATGTGGCAGGGTACGGGTAGTAACGTGCACCGGTGTGGCTATTCAGGGCGGTCAGAGCCGCCGTCCACACCGGTGCACGTTACTACCATTACCGAACAACCCTCGTGTACAGCCGTCTTGTTGCGACGCTGGGTACTCCCAAATTGGGCAAAAGTCACCCAAGACGGACACAACGCCACCAACCCGGTATGATGACCGAGTTGACCACGATTGAGGTGCCAGAGGGTAGTCCACGACAGGGATCATGAAATAAGAGGCCTTCGTCCTAACCAGGGTTACCCATAAGCCCAGCGCCTCAAAGCGCCCGACCACCAAAAAGACACAGTGGTGGCCAGGCGCGCCGCTTCTTAAAAGTTCACGCCACGGGCTACGAATAGGCTTAGGGAGTACTCCTTGCGACGCCTCAGCGCTCACCCACTGTCTGCCGTGTTACCCCCTCTACCTAACTATATTTGATACGAGCCTAGCAATTCCGCTTTGGATATTCGTTCAAGGAAAGAGCTCACTGAAGCTCTAGGCAATCCAATTTCTTACAGATGGTCATAAAGGGATTTAGCTGGTATACCCCTTGCACCCACATCGTATTTCGTTGTTTAGGTCAAAGTACTTGTTTCTTTTTAAAGTGTGGTATTTAGGGATGTTCGTTTCCCACGGCACCGTGAATTCATAATATTCAAAACCAGAACTACATTTTTATAATGTTTTTCTTTTAACAGAGAGAATGGGTGTGCGATCGAGCTAACTATGCCCCCACCGCTCAATCTGCGTTCTTTTGTGGATCTATAGTGGGCACTATATTGTCTGGATGGCTGGCTGACCGCTTTGGCCGAGTACCCGCCCTTATAGGTATAAATGTATCTATTCTTATATTTGTCTATTTAATTTTATGTATCATTTAGGTACGATATAACAACTTTTTGCTCAGATAAGAGCTGTAACTGAAGCAGCATCTTCACCATAATCTGGATAATTCAAATTATCAAATTATAATTCAAAAATCATCATAGCATGATGAATCTATTCTGTTGAATGGTAATTGATGAAGCTTCATAAGGGAGAGGGCTTGGCAAACTCTTCAAGTGGTGGATTCTGGACATGGACATCGTGAGCGATGAGGGTGTTTTTTTTCTCTCCTTATTCGAAAAGAACATTATAAACGGTTAATATCCCATTCAAAAGTGCTTACTGGCAGAGACTAAGCTCGACTACAAACCAACTTGCCGGTTTTAGCTCTTTGGGCCTATGAGGATAAAATCTCTATAAGAACTTACTAAGGCACGCTTACCCTGCTACCAACAAGAAATTCGAGGGTTCGCCCCCTTGTCACTTTCGACAAGAATTATTGGTGTTTCCAGAGTCAATGCAACTCCCAGGAGTTGCGTTGCGTTGACTTTATTAGACAGTTTTCAGGAACTGTCTAATATGAGAAATTATTAGCTTCAGGTCTCTGATTAGATCTTCAATAGTTAGATTTTATTAGTTGTTCTATTTAAATTCTTTATCATTTCAGGAACTAATTTGGTGGGAGGTATTGGTGGTATAGCGACCACGTTCACTACAGGTACATGGGACTTTATTTTGTGCAGATTCATTGTCGGTTTAGCGTTCGATAATTGCTTTATGCTGGTATATATTTTAGGTAAGTTAAATCCTTTTAACATCTTAATTTTTAAATCATCACTTTTGAGTCTTAATTAAGCAAAAGTACCTAAACAATGGTTTCTTTAGAGGAAATTGGAAACAATTTAATGATCACCTTTCCTCACATAATTTTAATTTTTTAATATCACCAATTAACCATGGAAGAGTTACAGCACGACCTCCCCCTCTTCGACTCTGGAGTGAGTTGCAGGTATCTGACGTCCAAAAGGTGTAGCCGCTTTTCTTCTCAGGCGGACTACTCACCGGCTGACCCAGTGGAGAGATCTATGAGATTACCTCAGGGCGCCTTCGAAGAGAAAAGAAGTGTGTGCGTGTGGGAAACCTACGGGACTCTTTAGAGGAAAACAACTTACACCTCAGTCATACATACATGTATATTTCAAAACAAAATTAAATTAACAATAAAAAAATCAGAGGGTATAAAAAAAAACCGCAGCGGAGCGCGTCAGAGCCGAGCTGATGGTGCTCGGTGCCTCCTCGTCGTCCCTCCAGA